TCACAGAGTTACTGTCTCAGAAACACGCAGGGGCCATTTGACCTTGACCTATTGGTACAACAGAATGAAATGCTGCCTGTTCTGGCACCATCTTCACAATCATTCCTATGTTTAAGCCCATTGTGGCAGCTACTGAGTCAGTCCGTCTTGTAGAGGACCTTCCTCTTGTTGGCTGCCCCTCCACTTGCCAATCGTGATGTCCTTTTCTAGAGACCCATCTCCTCTGATCACATGTCCAGGGCACTTGTGCAAAGTCTCTCAATCCTTCCCTCTAAGGAGCATTCTGGCTGAAGTTCTTCCAAGAGAAAGCTGTCTGTTCTTTTGTCAGTCAGTCCAGGGTACTGTCCATTTTCTTTGCCACCACCAATTCTTCTTCAGTCGTCCTTATTCAGTGTCCAACTTTCACGTGCATATTAGGCAATTGAAAATATGATGGCTCGGGTCAGGCACACCTCAGCTTCAAAATAACCTGCTTGCTTTTCAACATTTTAAATAGGTCTTGTGCCATAGATTCACCCAATGCATTGTGTCCTTTGATCTAATGTATAGGCCTCATATAGTTTCTGACCATTAAACAAATACTTATTTGTGTTTTCAGAATCTTTACATATGTTTTCTCAAGCATAATTTTCTTTGTGTAAAAGTTGTTGTCAGCTTAAATTCTTCATCATTCAACTGTTCACCTGTATTAATACTTTTTGCAGTTTTATAAAAACTAAATGGCTTATAAATAATAATTACTTATTTAACCATATATAATTTTGGAGGAAATGCTAACTTTTGTATTTGTTCGTATCTTTGCCAATATGCCTATTATTCACATACCAATTATATTTTACAAAATAAATATGGTACAAACTCATAGATCAGATTGACATTTTTTGTGTTATAAAGCAAATAAGCATGGTCTAAAACGACACCTATTCTCACTGCCATTGCGTTGATTCTGACTCATAAGGATTATGTGCAATGTGCCACCAGGATTCTTAGAACTTGAGAGAGCTTTCCTTGGAAAACATATATTTATAACCCATCTACTAGTGCTGCATGCTGTGCTGTTAACAGCAAGGTCAGCAGTTTGAACACACCGGCTGTCCACAGGGAAATGACTGGAGTAGAGGTCTTTCGACTCCTCTAAAGAGTTACTGTCTTGGAACTCCCGGGTGCCATTCCAATCTGCCCTATAGGGCCACTGTGAGTCCGCATTCACCTGATGGCAGGGAATTTGGTTTGAATTTATAAGTTGATATGTTTGTGTGAAGATAAGATTAAGCTAAATAATAAGATATTACATTTTAACCTAACTATGTAACATAATTGACTTTGTAATGTAGAGCGTTATCTTTAGATGCAACTTGGTGTGTGTGTGTGTGTGTGTGTGTGTGTGTGTGTGAAGGGTAATACTGTAGTAATTATTTCATCCTGACAAGTGGAATCTGCTTTTCACCTTGAACTTGCAAAATAAAACTAACAGCGAGAAAACATGAAAATAATAATACCTGGGAAGCAACTAGATGCTGTGTTATCATATTTACCACCAAAGTTATAAATATTGCTTTTGAGAAACTTTATATAGCTCAAAAAAGTCTCAGACCATTAACAATGTGCTAGACTGGTAATATGTGTGCATCAATACAAAGACTAAATAGAAAACTACACTATCCTTTTGGAAAGAGCAGGCAAAACCAAGGACCTTCTTTCCTGAAATTCTGCATACGCACTCAGTGATTGTTTTCAGTGTCTGAGATGTATTATGAAGCACTGGTTGTACTCCTTAAATATGACTTCTGGTAGCACAGTGCTTAACATGCAAAAGGCCAGTGGTTGGCATCCACCAGTAGCCCCCTTGGTTAGAGATGTGGAAGTCTGCTTCCTTAAATATTTACAGCATTGGAGAGCAGGTGGGGTTCTACTCTGTCATATAGGATTGCTATGCATTGGAATGGAGTTGATGGCTCTGGATTTGGGTTTGATTTCCTCCTTTAGTACGAAGTCAAATTTAAGTTGAGATTTTACAGTTGAAGAGCAAAGTAAATAAATAACTGGGATTTGAAATGTTGGCTAGGATTTGGACTTCTTTGCTTATACTATTTGCAGAAAGATGAACTGTTTCTTCTGTATATTTCCTTGCTGTTTGCAGAGAGATGAACTGCTTCTTTGTGCGTTTCCCTTCGGTATATCTTAATTCACCACCAAAGTGACTAATTTGTCATCATTTCTGCAGGTTTCTGCCATTTAGTAAGCCAGCTTGACGTTTCAAGCAACTTTAAGTGCTCGGTCAGGTAATAGTCCAATGCCTCCATTAACATTGGATTACCAATACTCACCAGGAGCCAATACTTCACCTGCTCTGAAAGGAGCTGGAGACGAAAGAAAAGACCTTTAAGAAAAGACCCATTTAGAACTCATGACAAGCTGAACATCTCTGTAGAAACATACATCACTTCTTTGTGAATAGACATTTAGATTATCTGGTTTAAAATGAATTAAGCAGCTCCAGTATAGTAAATTTATATCATTCTTCCTAACAAACTGCTGTGGAAATTACTTTAAAAAGTCAAATAGTATTAAATTCACATATAATGTTTAATTTAGATTTACATAAGAACCCCCACACATTAAAATAAATGTTTATGAAAGTACCAAAATTGAACTAATATCTAAGTTCTAAATATTTTCAGAAAAGGTTAACTTAAAAGTAGAATTCTATCTGGCCCAGAAATGACAGTCCTTAAGTTCATTTTCTTCATATAGTTATTTTTTATTAAAAATTAATACTGTGGTTGTTAACTATTTAATATTATAATTAGGAAGTACTCATTTATACATATACAGCTTTATTTGAGACAAAATGTATTTAAACTTATCTCTCTGGTCTGTAACTGGCTGCAGACAAGTTCTCTTGATATTTAGATTTTTGTGTTGATATGTGCATATTTATGATGAGAAAAACTGTAAAAAAATAAATTATCTTTCAGTTATATTTTTCCACAAGCTTTTTGAAGTCCTCTCATATATATAGAATTCTTTACATCTCATATATATAGAATTATTTTTTGTATGCATTTAGCCATACAGTAAAGGAGGAGTAGTGTGGGGGGAGACTGTTCAAAACACTTAAGTACAATCCTTGCAAATATAAAACAATTGTAAGAAGCATATTTTTCACACTGTAAACCTGGTCTCACATAAATTAATGTTCATCTTCCTATGTCTTAGTAAAGGAACTAGCCATACTTGTTAGAATCTGACATACCTGTACTGTGGTACATGAAAGTAATTGCTTCTAGAATTCCAGTTTTTACATGCATGGGTTTATTTCAGGAAAAATATATTTAAATATGTCTTGTGCTCAGTGAATGACTGCACAAGAGCTCTCTGGGTAATATACTTGCTTCTCCTAGCTAAAGTACCTTCAAGTAAAGGTTCACCCAAAACACAGTGTAGGGGGATGCTGGCCAGTTAAATGCAAGGCAGAAAGGTCAGCTCCAAAGGTCAGGGAAATGGTCTGTTTGTGTTGCCAAAAGGTCATTGATAGATTTTCTTAAAGACACAGGCCATTCTGAATGTGCTTTATGAAGAAGTTCTAAGAAAATTGAAAGCTGCATTTATGAGAAAAAGTCCAAGAAACTTGTTTCAAGGGATATTTTCCCCATGATCGCAGTGTACCTTCTCATTCTAAGAGGGCTACCAGTGCTGTCCTGAGAGAACTTCAGTGGGAACCATTACTCCTTTGACCTGCAGCTCATCTTTTTCCTTAAGAATTCTGTTGTTACTCCAGCTCCAAGAACACACAGAGTCCTTGGAAGATGCCAAAACTACCAGTTTTGAAGTTGTATAGATTAAAAAGCATAGAAACTGTGTCTTCAGATGTGTATAGACGTAGCTGGAGGATATGTCCAGAAACAATTCTTTCACATTTTGATGTTTTCCCTTATAAATGTTACTATGACTTTATAGTATTATATTTTACTTACCCTCCTGTGGAAATATTTGGATATATATCATATAATTATTTAATAAGAAATAATACAGGCTACTGTCTAAAGATTGAAAATGATAAATATTGTTGGGGTTGTAATAAATAAAAGACAAAGAAAATAGTGATATTTACTGATATATCCCTGTTAGCCAACATGATTTAGGTGTTTTTACATGGATAAGATGATTTATCCACATGTGAAATTTCTTACAGATAGATAATTTTATTATTGGATTTTACAAAGGATGCACATAATTTAGAATTTTATTACCTTGCTCAAAGTCATATAGTTACCAAGTGACTGAGACAAATTTAAAATCAATCTTTGCTTAATCTAAGCACTGCTAACACCCAAACAATAGGTTTGTCACAAGACTTATCAGCATCATCAATATTTCTGTATGGATGGAAAATGTAATAATCATCTATTAGGAGTTATGCTAGTTTTTCAGAAATAATCTTCATTGTTCCTGTTAATAGATGTTTTACCTTATTCTTTGAAAATAAATATTGAATTCACTACTCTATAAGATTGGGAAATCCATATTCCTTAAAAAATGACAAGAAAGAAGGAAGGAACTGAAAGGGCAAAAGGAACAAGGAAATAAAATAACAATTATTTTTCCACATACTGTATCAAGTACTCTCAGAAAACCTTTATCATTACAACTCCTGCTGCTCATTAAATATTTTCAAAATAGTATTTCCTATAAATCCAAAGGTTTGAGAAACCCAATGTATTAGCCAGTTTGTCCTGCAAGAGCATTTTCTACTTAACTATTTTCCCCCAAGATGCTCCAAAGGGTCGTTTGATGTATGATTCATTACTTCCATTTGCAAGGAACTTCCTTCCTGCTCGGCTACATGCTACTTCCAGGACAGTGTGTTTCAGTAATAAATAAAGTGCATGCTTTAAGTGAAAGTGTATATTTTTCAAATACATAAGTATGCCCTATTTCTAGAGGGCATGGCAGAATATTTATGTTATTGCTTAATGGCCACATTCACTTCTTTCTAGGAGCAATTTTTGATGAATCTGCCAAAAAGGATGATGAGGTATTTCGCACAGCAGTTGGCGACCTCAACCAGAATGAGGAGATACTGCAGACAGAGAAAATCACATTTTCAGTGACGTTTGTTGATGGAAACAATCCTTTTCAAGCAGTCCAGGAAGGTAAGGCCCCTCAGCGCTGTGCTTTTCTGGTTGGCCTTTTAGCTTCAACTGAAATGGTGCTACAATTTAGATGTGTAAAAGTCCTAGAGAGTGGACATTTTGTGTCCTTTTCCCCCTAATGTGTGTTGCTTTTCTTCAGGAGAGCAATGTTGCAGATATTAAGTCTGTATTCCCCTCATTGAACGGCAAAGATTGAGAAGTTATCACTTTGATTGAAATATAATATGAAACATGTATAAGGAAAGGCTTTGAAACAGTTTCATGACTTAGTTGTAAATAGAAAGTTCTGGAAAGGTGTGGTTCGATATAAGAGATCTTAGTTTGTGCTGCTCTAAGATAACTGCCACCTTGAGTGCTACATGTTGCAATGACTTTTCAGGTGTATCCATGACATTGTATTGCTGCGAAGAAAACCTTCAGACTCCAAGTACAAATCAAAGATATGCACAAGCACTGTAACCTATCAACTTCTGCAGTAATATATATACATATATTTCTATGGGGTGTTGAATATTAAAGTACTTTCCTCCATTCACTGTGATCTGACCTATTTTATGGGCACAGAAAGATACAAGGAAAAGTTGATTTTATTTTCCTGTAATATTCATTCCTATGAAGGAAGATTTTTATTGAGAGCTTAGACTAATAGAATTCTATTTTGGATAACATTAATCTATTCAAATATTTAGCCCTGTGTGCTTGGTAAAGCAGTCATTGTTTATAAAAATCACTTGTGGCTGGCCTTTTTATTTTATTAAAATATTACATTTATTTTATGTTACAAGTACACAATTTAATTAGTTGAATGAAATGTGTCACTAAAAATTTAATGGGGATTTAGAAGGTAAAAAAGATAGGTGCAATGTTCAATGAAATCCAGTTTGGTGATAGCTGTTTTTTTTTAAGTCAAGTTTTGAAGAAGTAGGGAAACATAATTGCATGAAAAGGGTTCCATTTTCATTTATTTTTATTACTCCAGATTTATATTTCAGACCAGAAGCATTGGCTATTCTTGAATCTTACGTATGCTTAGTTCAATCAATTAGAAACTAATATAATGAGTGTTGTTATAAAGGATTATCCTTCTTGTTAATTTGAAACAGTGGAGGAAAAACCCATTTTTAATGAAATGAATATAATTGTTATAAATGAAATCCTTTTTATGCAAGCACAGCATTTTAATTTTTAATGAGGAAATATCTATGGGAAAAGCTCGATTAGAATAAGTTTCCTACTGATTAAATTTCAAATATAGAGTGGTCCTGGGAATTGAGGGCTATAAATAATAACTTGGTGGTACATTTTCTATGTGGTTGTTGATGGGCTAAGTTGGTTCTGACTCATAGTGACCCGACGTGCAACAAAATGAAGCACTAACTGTTGTGGGCCATTCCCACGGTTGTTCTTACGTTTGAACCTGGCCAAACAGCCACTGTAGCAAATCACCTTAGAGAAGGTCTTCCACTACCAAACAGGTCTTCCTCTACAGAACAGTACTTTACCAAACAGGATATCTTTCTCCAAGGACTGGTCTCTCCTGACTGACAACATGTCCAAAGTGTGTGAGAGAAAATCTCACTGTTCTTGCCTCTCAGAAGTATTTTGGCTGTATTTCTTCCCAGACAAATTTATTTCTACCTATGTGAGTTCTTGAATTTAGCTAGTAGCACAATGTTTAGACAATACAATATGTACACAACTTTATTGCATTAATTTTAGAAAAATAATCTTTCCTTTGCAAATTGTAATTTCTAAAAAGAATAAATCACTCTTGTATGACATCATAATTCTCTCCTGCTCATTAAGTTATCTTAATTTCTTAATCTTCTGCTAACTTTTTCAGTAAAAGTCATATTGATGACATCTTTGTCATCAATTCACATTTACTAATATTTTATTTCTTAGAAGATAGTTTTATGGAGAGAATGGAAACATTTTCAGGTACTGAAAAACTCATTATAAAAGTTCAACAGAGCTATTTAGTATTTTTCCAAATTAATGTTAGAATTCAGGAGAGAATATGCCAGACAATAATAACATAACATTAAGGAACACTATACAATACTTTCTTAAAACATATTTACTAGAATAGAGATGCTATTCACATATAAGAAATAACTATTAATTTTTTTGTTTCAACCCATACTTAGAATTTTTAATATTTATTTTAATTTGGAGTTATTAAATGTATCATTCCATAGTACAATCACGTCAAGCAATATTGTACAATTTCTACTACATCAGTTTTGGAGCATTCTTTTTCTCTCTGGACTCCTTGGCATCGTCTCCCTTTAAGACCCCTCACCCCACCCCAAAGTTCCCCCTACCCCTGAAACCCTTATTCTGCTTGCTGTCCCTATATATTCATCAATCTTGGGTTTCATACACCGCAAAACAGAAAGACACGTCTTCAAGAGGGTGACCCCCCCAATGGCATAACACTTCTGAGATACACCCTTATATGAGCAAACAAACAATAACACAGAAAATCCTCCCTCTGATGCATGCTGGACCTGATCAGGTTTTCAGCCCCTAGTTCTGTTCCTGCGTAGCCTTTATAGCGACCAGAATCAGGTCCCTAAATAAGTAAGGGTGACTTTGTGTCTGTGACTATCTTCTAAGTAAGTAAATATCCATAAATGTGAGTTGACTGCAAAGATGTGTTAAAATACGTTCCTTGACTGAAAAACAAATTGAAAGTAGTTGGTAATTAAAAATCAAAATAAAGCAATTGGTGGGGGGATTATAACATCATAAATTTGTCATTCACATTTTTAAGAGATTACATTTTAAAAAGAAAAGATCACTTATTGAAATAATACAATAGAGTTGTTTATATATTGCTTTGTCTAACCATTCTGCTGCTATGTAAACTCTGAAAACAAAAATGTCTCTCAAAAGTACTATTGTTGAGTTTTTTCTTTTTTTAAATGATTCTCTGTATGAAAAAATCAGAGTTGGTGGAGCTAGAGAGTAAGGAAGGCCAAAGAAGAATCACTGCACTTAAATTATGGTGCTGGCAACAATATTTAGTCATCGGTTGCCAGAAGACTAAATAGATCTGCTTGGAAGAAGCACAGCTAGAATGCTTCTTAGAAGTAGGTATGGCAAGACTTGACTTCACATACTTTGTGTATGTGATCAGGAGAATCAGGTCTCTGGGAAAGGACATCATACCTAGTAAAGTGGAAAGGGTATAAAAAAGAGGAAGACCCTCACGGAAATAGCGGTTGCAAGTCGGAACCAAACATAGCAGCCATTCTGAGGATGACACAGGACTGGGCCCGGTTTCGTTCTGTTGTACACAAGGTCACTAGGAATCAGAACTGAGTGGATGGCTCTCAATATCAACAATAAGACACTCCTGTGTCTCCTGAAAGTAATGGCTACTTTTTAAAATACCATTCAGCTCTTAGTTGAAACAATTTTACTATGGCTTAAGATATTTGGAAATATCATAATATTCCTTGAGGTAAAATAAGGAATTGCATTGTAAAAATGTATATTACAGTTTAGACTATGCATTTAGAAATATGAGTATTGTTTCTCATGCAAAATTTTTGAGTGCATATGTGTATCAGGGAGGATGCAAAGCAAGCCTACGTTGGTTTTGTATATCATAATTCTGCAAAAAGAGATAGAAATAATTGCTCTTATTAGAAAAAATACCTTAAATTGAAATGCAAAATGACAAATAGTGTAAGTCCTGAAAGGTCACCAGTGATTTAATTTGAAAGAAATAGGATCAGCTATCATAATTATTCTTCTGTTACATTGCAAACTACTGTAAAGAGTGCAGAGGGTTATAATAGACAATACTGGGTTATGAAAAATACCCTGTGCTTCTAAAATAGAAAATCTTGAGTCAGCGTACCAAAGTAAGAGGCAGAAGTTAGTCCTCCATATTGACAAGGGCAGTACTGTTAAGTTAAAACATAAAATTAAATCAAATTTTAATTTTAATGTTGTAATCGTTAAAGCTGTTCATCTTCCAAGTTTCACCTTGCTTTAACTTCTACTTAGACCTTTACAGACCTCAATCTGTATAGTGATTGTTCTCAAAGAGTATCGTGAAAAGTAGGTATCTCACAGCACCATTGTTGCAAGTTGAATTTAACTCGTAAAGTTCCAAAATAAAATGATTTGAAACGTATGAATGCGAAAGTTTAGTTTAGGAAAGAAGTTTTATTTCTTTGTAGTTATACCTAAAATATATCCAAGCATTTCTTATGTATAAATGTAGTACCAGGGGAGGAGGAGGCCCGAATGTAAGGGAATCTAAGTAGATAAGGCACATCTCCCAAACACCTTGCCATTCACTGAGAATCTTCCTGTTGCCATAGGCTAAATCTGAACGGTCTTGTTCAAAGAGGATGCACACGCAATAGAATGATTTATGTGGTCACATTACTTGGTACTTTATTTCAGAGCTTAGTCTCGTAATTTATATCCCCCTAGGCATTAGGAATAGATTTTTACTCTCTTAAAAATCTTATTGCCACAATATTTAGATGGGACTCTACAATTTAGTGTTTCAGTCGGCGTACTTCATTATTCTATGCTGTTACATGGGCCATTTTTGGATACATTTGTAATTCCAACTTTGTTTTCCGTGAGTTCCTTCATGCCAGACAGGGTTTGGGACCTGGTGGGTCTAGAAGCCGACAGGCAATGTGTGTGCAGGCGTGCTGTGATTAGGGGTCTTCAGGTCAGTTCTAGCTCACGGGCCCCTACGTTCAATAGTGTGAAACGCCGCCCGTGCTGCAGGCCGGCACCGCCCTCCAATTGTTCTCTTTGAGTCCAGTGTTGAAGCCCCTGTGTCGATCCATCTGCGAGGCTTTCCTCTTTTTCTCTGTCCTTCTCCTCTACCTCATTCCATGTCTGTTTCCAGGGATCGGCCTCGGCTGCTAACATGTCCAAAGCAGGTACGCTTTTCTTCCCTGACTCCTATGTTTCTTTATTTATTTCTCATTCCTCTTCATGGCCATCTCTGTAATACG